AGGCAGCTCAGTTAACCTCTAAGCTCCGATTTCCCCATCTGTAAAGTGATCTCAATAAAATCTACTATTGCTAGGATTACCTGAGATCACACATATTAAATGCATATAGCTCACAGCACCCTGTGGACATGAGTGCTGGTCCTTCCTTCAATGCAGGTGAGAAATCTGCCCAAGCAGCTGGATATGGGGGCTATAATCAAGGATTTGAACCGGCTTATAGTTTTACAATTGTTTCCTGCACTTGGCCCATTCATGTTTATTTTTTCCCTGCTAGACAAGTGGGATATCTAAAGCAGGAATACTCTTTTGTTTCTACCCCAGGATCTAGTTAATCTCACATGATAATAACCATTGCTATAGTAATGTTAGCAGATATAGTTCATCAAATGTTCCCTTTCTGCCAGACTCTGTGCCAAGTACCATGTACGTGTTATTCTTCTAATCTTCAGAGCCATTCTGTTTAACAGGTATTGTATCCCCGTAGTATGTATGAAAAACCTTAAAGTTTAGGTCTGGCTCCAGAATTTTCATTTTGTGTTCTCATAATTGTGTTTTTCAGCTCTACCTACTTGGTCCTGTTTAAGTATAGTAAAATTTATTTCTGGTTCTCCTTCCTGACATCTTGACAAGGACTGGTCGGAGCCAGGGTCCCTGAGTTCCAACAGTAAAGGGCAGGGAGACTTCAGTGTTAAAAACAAGAAGATTTCATGGCTTCTTGGCTTCACTGTTTCTCTGTCCTAGCCCAATTGGTGAGCAGAAGTACTGGGAATACTGGGATCTTGGATTCAATTCACAAGTTTCATGTGACTGTACTGGGATCTATTCTTTCCCATAAACTCACTGCCTACAAGAGGCAACACAACTGATAGAACTCCCAGAACTGGGTGTGGTGAGGAGTTAGCTCTAAACACAGAGTTTTTTGTTTGTTTGTTTGTTTATTTGTTGGTTAAGGGGCTTGAACTCAAGGCCTGAGCACTGTCCCTGAGCTCTTTTGCTCAAGGATAGTGTTCTACCACTTCCAACCACAGCACTATTTCTGGTTTTTGAGTAGTTAATTAGAGATAAAAGTCTCATGAGGGCTTTTCTGCCCAGGCTAACTTTGAACCCTGGTCCTCAGATCTCAGACTCCTGAGCAGGCTCGGATTACAGGCATGAGCCACTACCAGTGCTTAGCTAAGCATAGGTTATTAATAAAAGTAAGACAGCATCTGTCTTTTGCCCTTGACTCCCACATGCACCTTTGCATTTCTGAGTGTCTGGGCTCCAACTTTGTATATATGTGTGTATGTGTGTTATTGGGGTTTGAAACTTAGGGTTCAAAACTTGTTGTGGGGCTGGGAAGGTAGCTCAGTGGTAGAGCGCTTGCCTTGCATGCATGAGGCCCTGGCTTCTATTCCTCAGCACCACATAAGCAGAAAAAAAAAGGGCTGGATGTGGCACTGTGGCTCAAGTGGTAGAGCGCTAGCCTTGAGCTGAAGAGCTGAGGGACAGCGCCCAGGCCCAGAGTTCAGGCCCACGACAGGACCCAAAACAACAACAAAAAACTTGTTGTGTTGCTGGACGCCAGTGGCTCATGCCTGTAATGCTAGCTACTCAGGAGGCTGAGATCTGAGGTTCTCGGTTCAAAGACAGCCTGGGTAGGAAAGTCCATGAGACTCTTATCTCCAATAAACCACTCAGAAAACTAGACATGGCGCTGTGGCTCAAGTGATAGAGTATTAGCCTTGAGATGCAAGATCTGATGGACAGTGCCCAGGCCTAGAGTTCAAGTCCCACAACTGACAAAAAAAACAAAACAAAAAACTCACAAAACAAAAAACAAAAAAACCCAAACTTGCTGTGTAAGCAGGTCACTTGAGATATACCCCTAATGTGGTGGGTGATTATTTCTGTTGTTATTGTTGTTTTACCTTTTTCCCACTGAGACTAGATACTCCTTCATAGCTGTGACTGTATCTCATTTGTATCTTTCTTTGTCTTTTCTTGTAATTGAAAGGATGGTGTGGCAGCACTTGAGAAAAATCTATAAAAAGACCTAACATACCCCCATAGCACATGGCTTTGCGTGGCTTTATATATATCTACCTCAGGCACTCTCTTCTGTATTGAATCACAGGTTCTCAGTCTTCCCTGAAGCCACCAGACAGGTATCTAGTCCTAGTGCTAGCTCCGTATACGTACTGGATAGCCTTTTTCTTTTCACTTGTAACGTAGTCAGGTCTTGGAATACTTGATAAAAATATCACTCTAAAATTTAAAAGATGCTGGCCTGGCTACACTTCCCATTTATGAGTATCAAGTGAGGTATCCAGTGTCTTGCCTTTCTATATTGTGGCTAGGAAGTCATAGCATGGCTAGCAGATCATGAATTTAAACCAGCATTTCCTCAGGATATGTATTCACGGGGCTTGATAACTAATTGAATTTGTGAAACAAGGTTTTAAAATATTTGTTTGTGGTGGTACAATTTATTTATTGACTTAAAGCAATACTAGAGATTGCACTCAGGGCCTCACACTTGCTAGGAGATATTCTACCACTTGAAGCACACTGCTAACTGCTTTTTGTATTGGCTGTTTTGCCTTGAGCCTGGGATGGCTTGAACCTTGATCCCCCTACTTGCATTTTCCATTGTAGCTGGGGATGATAGGCACATACCACTATGCCCAACAGTTGTTTGAGATGGAGTCTTGAAAACTTCTTTTGCCAGGACTGGCCTGGAACTGGATTGAAACAGTAATCCCTTAATCTTACCTCCCAAGGAGTTGGGATTAATCACTGGGCCCAGCTAAATAATGCTTTTAATGCACTTTTTTTTTTTTTTTCCTGGTTCTGGGGCTTGAACTCAGGGCCTGGGTGTTGTCCCTGAGCTTCTTTTGCTCAAGGCTCTTACTCTACCACTTAAGCCATAGTGCCACTCCAGCTTTTTCTTAGTGTTTTATTGGAGATAAAAGCTGATGGACTTTTCTGCCCAGGCTGTCTTTGAACTGAGATCCTCAGCTACAATTATAGGAATGAGCCAGTGGCTCCCAGCTCTTAATGCACTTTTTAATGAGCTGATACACACTGTCTCAGAGTCTTAAAGGGAATTTTTAAAAATGCTTCCTCTTCAGTATATCTAGTATCCTTCATAATTTTTTGTTGTTGTTGGTGGTGGTGGTGGTGGTGGTCGTGGGGCTTGAATTCTGGGCCTAGATACTGTCCCTCAGCTCTTCAGCTCAAGGGGAGTGCTCTACCACTTTAGCCACAGTGCCACTTCTGGTTTTCTGGTGGTTAATTGCTCAATGACTTTCTTGCCTGTGAACCTCAGATCTCAGCCTTCTGAGTAGCTAGGATTACAGGTATGAGCCACCAGTACCCAGCTTCCCTCATAATTCTTAATGTAGTTTCTTATTTAAACCCTGTAACAATCCTATAAAATAGATGCATCGTTGCCTCCATTGTAGAGACAATGGAGAAATTTACCTGCTGTCATAGCTAATTTTAGGTGGGCGGAGTCTTTTACTTAAGCAGTCTTGAGTCTAGACCCCACAATCTTAACCAATATTGAGTCTTAGAGGCAACTTTGACTGAACCTTCTGTTATTTGAGGTGTTCTATAAGATTAAAATTCAGAAGGGTACAGCAGTGGTACTCACTAGACACTGTTGAAAATGAACTACACAACTTGTGGGTAGGATGGGAGGGAAAAACTGGGAGAGAGTGAGAGAAGGAGTGACATTGTCAAAAAGAAGTAGACTCTCTTTACTTGACTTATACAACTGTAATCCTTTTTGGTGCATCACCTTTATAATAACAACAAAAAACAAAGATTTTCATATTCACACACCCCTCCCCCCCAAAAAAAAAGAATTCAGAAAGATAATAGATGGCACACTTCTGACTTAAATGTGGAAACTTGAGCGGTGCCTACTTGAGAATGGACTGCTAGATAAGAAGGGATACAGGCTTGTATTATGAGTCCTATTGGGTTCTGAGCACTCTCAGCTCTTGTCCCTTAGATTTGTTTGTTTCTTTGTATTAATTTCATTGATGGTTACTGTTGGGAGAGGTAGAAATGGAAAGACTGGAGTATAATTTCTAGATCTCAAACTTGGCTGCATATTGGAATTCATTGAAGGAAAACGATTATTGATGCCTTGCCTCATTCTTAGAGATTTGAGTTTAGCCTGAACGAGGACCAGGCTTTGATGATGCGCTCATCAGGATGCAGCCTGGGTTGAGACCTGTTGATTTGGACACAATCCATTGTTGGTCCATTTGTCATATTTTATCACAAAGAAAGGGAATGAAAGGGTGTCCTTTGTAAGTTAAATGGCTAACTTAAGTTTGAGGTTCTTGTTTGTGGATGAGTGACTTGTGTTCTTCTTTTGAACATGTCCATATATGGCGTTGTAAGCCCTCTCTGTGTTCTGTACCCAAATCTAACTTTGCATTGGCATCATATACTGATTAGCCATTAACACAGAAGTTTAGATGGATGTTACTGAGTTACTAAGGTGACTGGAGACTGTTACTCTTGTTGGAAGAAGGAAGTGGGTACTATTGCTTAGACCACTGTGTCTCCACAGCTGTTTGGGGGGACTGGTACTAGAAATGCATACTGAGTCATATCATTAGCCAACTACACATATTTCTCATTGGGTTTATGATGTGAAAAGTGAGCTCCAAACAGTTACTGTCATTCAAAGTTGAAATTGACAGGTAAAACTGAGAATCAGAATTATTTCTTGATTTGGTAGTTTGGCACTTATTTTGCTTATTGCTATCTCTGCAAAAATCTCTCATAATTTGCTGAGAGACCTTGTAAGTAAAATGTAATGATTGTTTTGACCCCCAAGCTCTAATGGCTTTTCTTAACATTCTCATCTTTTCAAAGGCATAGTTCCTCTTCTGTCTTGTTCTAGACATCAAGATTATTGCTTATTATCGTGTTCATGACAGGTGAGTCCTTGCTTGGCCAAAGCATTTGTAATGGTAATGTCTCTGGTTTTCTTACAGTACAACAAACACCTCTTCGTGCACATTGGGCATGCCAACCATTCTTACAGTGACCCATTGCTTGAATCAGTGGACATTCGTCAGATTTATGACAAATTTCCTGAAAAGAAAGGTGGCTTAAAGGAACTATTTGGAAAGGGCCCTCAAAATGCCTTCTTCCTTGTAAAATTCTGGGTGAGTAAGATACTACTTGATTTCTCTGATTTGTACAAAAGCAATTGTGTCTTATTTGTGAGTACAGTGCAGCCCTGCTAGTGATAGGTTCACACTAACTACACCTTTGTGTTTTTCTGCAAACTTTCCAAAGGATAAAAAGCTTGTACCCATGGAGCTGTACTCATACTGGCCTTGCACATCTTGACAGCATTGCAGTCTGCCAAAGGGCAGGAGGGACAATTGGTCTCTTTGAGCTTCAGAGTTTATTCATGCTGTGACTCAGATAGCTGAAGCCACAATGGAAACCATGGGACCCTATTCCCTGTATGCTTCCTTTCACCCCATTGAGCAATATGACCTATAAATTTCATTGGCAAGCAAGCTTTGGATGAAGTTATGTGCCTTAAGAATTTTTAAGTATCAAAGAAATGTACAAGATGGATTGTTAAGTGAAAACTCCATTGCTGTTTAATAAGATATGAGCCAGTCCTTCAGGCTGCTGGGGCTTTGCTGTCCCTTCTCGAGGCAAGCATGGGCTAGAGAACTACTAATGCTGTCTACTACTAATGGGTCTGCGTAGGCATAGGTCAATATGGGCACATATTAGGGGTTTGCTAGTCACAGGAGGCTAGATAACTCACTAGCACTGAGAGTTTATAACAAAACTTTGACAAGAATAAAAAGAAAATAGTTTTAAATGTCCTTTGACATGTCATTCAAGGCCCTAATTGACCTGGCTCCAGTGTGCTGTTTTCTTGAATTTGGCCAGGTCCCTCTATCCACTTGTCTGTTCTATGCCCCAACCTCTTTCTTTTCATTTCCCTTTTCCTGGTCTGATAACCAGCTCCTTCTTGTTGTAGCACCCTCCTCACTTAAGCAGACCATTGATTTTTCTTTTAGTCCCATTGCATTTTTGTGGCTAATCAGTTCCCATGCTGGGCCATAATTATTTGGATGTGTGTTCTCTGCCCTCTGGACTCCAACTGCTCCCAGGCGACCTTAGTCATAGAGTAAATTCCATTTACTGCCTGCCTGCTGTGGGCCTGGATACTTTGCATGCATCACATCTAGCGCTTAAAGTTTAAGTGGAATTTGCCTTCTGTCCAACTAGGAAAGCAGGCTCAAAGATGACAAAAAGGATGGGCAACCTGGAGGTTGGGAACCTGGGACTTGAAATGAGATCTGTCCAACCTTAATATGCTTTCTGTTTCCCACCTGTTTAGCACCCTGTGGATCCTGCATAGTTTGTCAATTTAAGACTCCATAGCTGTACAAAACAAGTAAAGAGAAAATGTGGGAGTACATGAGTGGATTAGAAAAACTCATGATTTAAATTCTTTGGTGGAATTTGCATATCAAATTTGTTTAGATTCTCCATCTTTCCATGGTAACTCAATTTCATTTTTCATGTTTTTTCCTTTTGGGAGTTGAATAAAGCTAGCAATCTTTTTACATTAATGGGTATGAAATTGGTAATGCATGTGTACAGCCTACAAAAGCAATATTGGTACTTTTCTAAACTGGTGGCTGCCTTCTAATGGTTTGAGTGGTGTATGAGAGATCTGTTATTCCATGGTAACAATGAATCTTTAACAGGTTTCTTGGTATCCTTTCAATGGATTGGCAAGGTCAAACTTATTACAAAACTGAGATATGATTGCTTTTTTTTTTTTTTTTTTTGCCCTCTGCTGATATTCACAAAAGAAGTGCAATAAAACTGCTAGCACCTTCTTACTAAGAATATGGCTCTGTTGCTGAAATGCACCTACATTTTAGAAAAGAGAACAAGTTAAGCCAAGAGTATCCTTTGTGACCTTGATAATGCCATAAACCTAGAATACATATTGGAAATGAACACGATGAGCCTGTCTCATTATAGAGGACAACTGACATTATTTTCCACTAAAGATAAAATTTGAGCTTGCAAAGGAAAATTAAAATTGGAGAAATTTGTCTTCATCTTGGTGAACTTCCTGATAGTTAAAGACTTTTCTGATGAGATTGAAGGTGGTATTAAGTAATATAAGATGATATTGTGTCAGATAGACTGATGAATTTTAATATAGCAAAGAATGAAAAGCTGGTTGATATACTTTCAAATTCTACACTACAGCCCACTTGTGGAAAGCATGACTTGTAGACTTTTTTTATGAAAGAAAATGAGCACAATTATCTGAAGAGTGTGTTACTCAATGTAGAACAGCACTTTCTACTTTTTGTAGTGAGCACTTTCTCTCTCTCTCTCTCTCTCTCTCTCTCTGTCATGGGACTTGAACTCTGGGCCTGGGTGCTGTCCCTGAGCTCTTCAGCTTAAGTCCAGCACTTTACCACTTGAGCCACAGCACCACTTCCAGTTTTCTGATTGCATATGGAGATAAGAGTCTCACAGATTTTCCTGCCCGGCTTTCTCACTCTTTAAAAAAAAAAAAAAAAAAAGCATGCAGCAGGTGGCTCACACCTATAATCCTACTACTCAGGAGGCTGAGATCTGATGATCATGGTTCAAAGCCAGCCCAGGCAGAAAAGTCCCTGTGAGACTCTTATCTCCAGTTAAATACTCAAAAACTGGAAGTGGCACTGTGGCTCAAAGTGGTAGAGTGCTAGCTAACCTTGAGCAAAAGAGCTAAAGGCCCTGATTTCAGGCCTCATGACAGATTCCCCCCTCCCCCACCAAAAAAAATATATATGCATACTTAATTTTTTAAAGATATATATATTTGCATATATTGGCCTTACTATTTTTGAAGTTATTTTAAACAGTATGATAAATATTTTAGCTTTTTTTCTCAACTTTAATTTCCAGTTCAGAAAATACAGATAGATACACACCTTCAATAAACAAAAACCCTCTGAAATGAGCCTGTAAAAATGTCCTAAGATCAGAAAACCTTAGAGCCACAATTATAAAAGATGTAAAATGAAGTTGATTATTCAAGTCAATTAGAAACTAATTAGAGATTATAAGATTGATAAAAAAATTATATTCTGTATTTTCAAATTAGATGGTGTCTTTAACGATAATAAGATTTCTTCTAATTAGGTTTTCTTTTTTCCAGATAAATTGGAATGGAGAGTACTTAGAAAGTTTTTCCATTTTTTTGCTTCCAAAATTACCCATTTTACTCAGTGGATGATTTTAATAAATGCTATCAGTGAACCTCCATATAATGAGGTTAAGATTACAGATAAGTAGACAGTGTGGATGGGTGTGTGATGAGCACATTTAGACACAGTTGCTCTCAGATCAGCTTCTTATCAAATTAAGGTTTACAGGATTAAAATTGAACTCTTCTATGAATATGATAGAAAACAGCACTCCTTCAGCATAATTGTTGGAGTACTTAACCTTTGCAAGGAAATTCAGTCATAACTGTGTGAAATAAAGGAGAGAAGGCAATTTAAATTAGGTTTGCAATTTGGGATCTCATTGCTCCTCTAATGACTTAGAACAAATTGCATTAAGATGTCCATCCTTGGATATCAGCAGGTGCATCCAGTGGATGATGCATAAATAGTTTTAACACTCCCTTTGAGATATCATCTGTATTTTCAATTTGATTAGCATATTTTTTAATTTTTTGTATGATTCAGTAAATTATAACAAAGACTCTATACCCAGCCTCTTTCTTCTCCTCTCCTCCTTTTTGCCTTTATCAAAATGCTTGAAATCTCTAGGTTGTCAAAATCAGACTTTTAATTTGCTCATTTGATCCTGACATTCTGTTTTCAGAGTGTCTGCCCCACCAACTTGGATTCAGTAGGGCTAGCATAAGTGAGAACTTTGCCAAGGAAGAAATACCAAGTGCTACCTGAAGCACCCAGACATATATTCACACATCTCAGCTTTGTCAGTTGGCACTTTGAGGTACTTAGAATGCAGTGAGCTGAATAGAGTCACTTGCTGCTTTGGGGGTGGAACATTCTGACTAGTATGCATGATACAGACCCCCCCCCCCCCCAAAACACAAGTGAATGATAGAACCAAGGATGCTAGCATAGACACATTGTATTATGTAACCCTCAGAGTTCCTTGGGTCTCAATGGTGTGAGAAGCTGAGCATTGGTATGCCTGTAGTCTAGCAGGAGGTTGAGATCTGGAGGATCATAGTTTGAGGCCAGGCTAGGCAGATAATTCATTAGGTTCCCCATCCAAAAAATAACCAGCAAAAAAAGCAGAGCTAAAGTCATGACTTAAGTGGTAGAATGCCAGGCTAGCAAGCATGAGGCTTTGAGTTCAAACTTTATTACTTCCCTCTCCTCCCACACACTAAGAAGAATATAACAATAAAAATTAAGTTGTATAGATGTAGATCTTATCAGATTATTACCAAATTTAAACTGTATTATTTTTCTTTCAAATAATTATTAAATGCTTATGTCTGAGAAACTAGAAATTATGACATTATCCTGTAGTTATTAATTATTCTTTTTTATAATCTTGTGATTATCCACCATTACATATATTTGGGGCGAGGTTGGTCATGGGGCTTGAACTCTGGGCCTGGGGATTGTCCCTAAGCTCTTCAGCTCAAGGCAAACTCTCTACCACTTGAGCCACAGCACCACTTCCGGTTTTCTGGTGCTTAATTGGAGATGAGAGTCTCATGGACTTTCCTGCCCGGGCTGACTTTGAACTGCAGTCCTCAGATCTCAGCCTCCTGAGTAGCTAGGATTATAGGCATGAGCCACCAATGCCCGACTTCCACCATGATATTAACAGTATGTTTATTGTCACTTTGCTTACTTATTGTTTTTTCAACAAATAAAAAGCAGGTTAGTTTTAACTCCAACAGATGAGAGAAAATTTTATGAAACAGAGAAAGGAGAACCAACTTTTCTGGCAGCCTCTAGAAGATGCTTTTATCTTTGTAGGAATGAAATCACATTTGTTCAGCAAAATGACAGTCACTGCAAATAAAACAACTGGGTTTTATTTAAAGAAAAGACAGGGGGCACACAATAGAATGACAGAAGGACCCCCTCCACTCTCTGTGGAGTTTCAGCCGGTTTCTAGTTTC